CTATGCTCTTTGACATTGTGGCAATCGGGTATTCTTGGGGCTTTTAGCTTGGTTTTTCACTTTTTTGATACAACTATAGAATACCCACAACTTTCACACCTTACCACTATTAGTTCCTTGTAAACATTGTCAATTTACTCAAAATTGATCTAATATGATTGCCTCATTCTTCAAAACCCCCCAGTCAAATTTGAACCAAACTAACATACTCATATGATTTAATCTCTAGACTTTACCATTAAACTATTTTGAAGTGATTCTTGTACTTAATTATGTGTCAATGAATGCAGAAAAATGGCGAGGTATTCTATAAGCATTGATTCCGGCATGTGTGTTTTTGAACCTTCACTGTTGAGAGAGCATGCCATGGGTCTCCCCAAATTATCTGAGTACTTCAACCAGACCAACAGCTGCCAAATGGCAACTACTATGCTCAGAGGTGTAACTTACACTTGCCCGGGGCAAGTGAATATCATGACGGGCAAGTAAAAGATTCCTCTTGGTTGCCCGAACGGGCAAGTTGCTTTGCCACAAAAAGCTGGCCAGCTTTCAGTTCATATTATTATTGTCGGATAGAATAAAGGCTGTTCGACGACATTGGTTCAAGCTAGCAAATCATCTGCATCAAATTCATCTAAATTGTTTGATTATATTATGCATTGATTCTCTTTTTGGTTATTAAATGTTTATTCATGATATATGATAACGAAATATGGCAGGACTTAATTTATGGCAGGACTTAATTTGGGACTTTATTAGTCCTGTTGTCTGTGCCTTCAATTTCTTATTGTAAAACTAATAAAAAAAAAAAAATAAAAAATAATGGTGATTAGTGTTACATTAAATTAAATAAGTGTACTTGATTCAAATTTTGTTTAATATGTGAGCCAAAGCTAGATCTGAGGTAGTCTAGATCTGAGGCAGTAACATAGCCAATGCCACTAGTCCAATGAGTGGATATGTTGTCTCCCTAATTTATACTGGCCCGCGTAGGTACCCCATTGCCTGATGGCAACTGGATTTTATTCAGGGCAACCAATTTTCATGTCCAACTTGCCCTGATCGAGGGCATGCAAGTGGCAAAAAAGTTAAGTTACACCACTGATGCTGTATACAAATTATATCCTTCATACATTTATAATAATATTCAGGCTAAATATCATAGTTATTATTTTATGTACTATAGTTGTATCAGGTATAAAGATACGAGGTGAAGCCAAGTATCTTTAGGTCTGATAAAGCATACACTGCGAATGTTTTAAATTGCTCAACTGATGGTCACCAACAACAAATAGTACTTTATTACAAGGCGGCAAAATGTATTTAAATTAAAAGAGATGAATAATCTTGTCACTTGATCACATTTGACACCAGGTGTCTTGTATTTGTCCAATGTCCATAAGAGACCCCTTGTTATTGTATCATGTTTTGAGAATGAGTTCAATTTTGATATTTGTTGTTGATCTGAGCAAAATATTGATTTGAGGCACACTACTGAGGCACACAGTATTGAACAGTCAATTGTGGTGAGTGATGCTGAACTGCCTGTTGTATGTTGTGAGTGATTTTGAGCGCCTGTTGTGATGAGTGACACTGAATTGCCCCAATTGTGGCTCAGGAAAAATGTACCTGCTGACTTGTCAAATAATCTCCTTAAATAATGTTCTGGGAAGTAATTTGTGTAATTGATTACAAACAAAAACAAGGGCTTGTTAACAGTATAATGAGGAAATTAATTCCCTCATTATATTATTCAGCCTTGATAAAGCATATGGAGGCTTTCTGTCTGATTTGACCCTCATGCATGTAATTGTTTGGGAATGCCTGATCATTAAGATCACAACATTTGTTTTGAAGCTTGGCCTTTGAAATCTAAACCCAAAGCACTATATGTGTGTTCACAATATGTTCTTGCGATAAGAATGAAAATCAAATAAAATATTTCAACTCAATTAAATTCAGGAAATGTTAATTAACCATGGAGGTCAACCAGGTTATTACTCAGGGCATATGGCTAACATAAGCATTTAAATTCCAAGTGCATACGATGTTGACATTCCTTGTTTTTCAGACATTCTTTGGACCTTGTACCCCTTACGAAAATTTCCTATAGGAATTCCTATAGGAAATCAAAATTCCTATAGGAATGGAAAGTGGCTATAGGAATTCCTATAGGAAATGAAAATTCCTATAGGATTTGAAAATGGTGAAAAAAAATCCTATAGGAAATAAAAATTTCTATAGGAATTCTTATAGGATTGGAAAATGGTGGGAAAAATTCATAGCCTATACCACTATGGCCTGATACATGCATGGGTATAAGAACTTTACTTATATAAAAAATTATACAGATAAATATAATTTACGAAATAACTTCTATTTCTATTTCTTATAGGAATTTTTTCACCATTATCATATCCCATAAGAATTCTTATAGGAATTTTAATTTCTTATACAACTACACTATTCCTATATCGTATTTTACTCATAGACATTTATTAATAGAGAATTTAATACTGGGACTATTTATTTTCTAAGATTAAATGAATAATAATTACCGCAATGTGCGCGACTGACAGACTGGTGTCTAGTTTTCTTGCCATGCGCGCAAAGCATCAAGGGATAGATCATCACACCTCCGATATTTTTCAAGTCAGTGTTTGTCATACCCTGGATTCCAGAGCCTTCGACAGTAAATAATAAATTGAAATGTCGCGAAGGCTCTGGTTCAACGGGGCGATTCTTTGATTAAACCGCGCCAATCACAAAACAGAATTAGTGGTTTTAGTACAAACCACTAATTCTGTTTTGTGATTGGCGCGGTTTAATCAAAGAATCGCCCCGTTGAACCAGAGCCTTCGCGACATTTCAATTTATTATTTACTGTCGAAGGCTCTGGAATCCAGGGTATGTTTGTCAATGGTTTATGTGCAAAATAGAACTATTTTTGATGGGATTCAACTGGATTTTCACTAGTAATACATCAGGGATGTTTGCATAATGTTCAGGTAAGAATAAGTTTATATTTTATTTATAATAAAGCAAATTATAAAGGAAATACCTCCAATCTTCATTTGTGAAATTCGAGCATGTTGTTCGATAAAATTTGAATTTGCCGCGACAATATAAACGGAATTAGAATGCTGATATAAATATATTTATAGCGTTTATACTTCAACAAATGCTACTATAAAAGTTTTATATTTGAATCAGACTTATCCATGTTTATTAATATTTATTGTAAATTGTCAGCCATATTTAATGCATGCCCATAGAAAATTTAACTACTTGCTCAAATCAGCAGCAGTATTTATTCATATGTTTTGTTTAAATTAAACAATTTTCATTTTGAGAGGTCTTGCACCAGTCAATGTATTAAAATCTGTTAGCCTTTAGACATGCTTTAGTGTAATGCCAGGAAAATTATCCATGTTTTTCTATTAATTAAACATAACTATGTGATGGTATTCAAATTAACCAGACTCTGCTAGCTTACATTTCATGCTAACTTGTTAAGATGAATGTGCTCAACTTTCAGTACTTTTTTATTTTACCCTGTCTAACACCAGATCATTTTACTTGAAAGAGAGTGGACAACTTTGATAGGTTACCTTGCTGTCTCCCTGTGTTTTGTGTAAACTCATTAAGACCCAATTCACAAATTCACACTAATGTGCTCTATTTCAAAGCTCAATATTTTGCCCTGTTAATACCAGACTATTTTGCATTATTTGGCATTAGCACATTTAGATGCAATTCACCCTAACGTACTCAATCCCCACTTTCAGTACTTTGATATTTATCAGATGATTTTACTAATCAAAATGAATGTTGGTCATTGAAAGGTTAATAATTAACTGGAAAAGCTGCTGTGTGGCATATTTAGAAGCAATGTGCCCTACTTTTAGTACTTTGTTATTTTACTGTGTTTATTCTATTAAAGTGCTAGACTCTCCACTTAGAGTAAAATAATAAATTGGGTGCATTTGGGCATATTTAATGGTTAACAAAACACATTGGAATGGTATACATAAAATAAATGTATTTGTCTTTTTACAGCTATCAACAAAGTATGGATGTAAGGCCTCAGAGGTTCGTCAACATATGAGGACAAATATAAACAACATGGGAAAGTGTTGCAAAGTACAGAAAAGCAAACAAGAACAAGAACTTATTTGAGGACTATGTTTTGAGGCCAGTTTTAAACTTAACTTTAAATGTCAATTATGGTTATTACCTATGGTTTAGCCCATTAAGTGCCAGCGCTCTGACGAGTAAAATCGTCTGGCGTTAGACAGAGTAAACTATAGTAAAATAATAAAGTAAGGCGCATCAGGGCGCAATGTGATTCAATGGGTTAACTAGACACATATATAGGAATATAGGCTAGTTAACCCATTTGGAGCCAGCATTTCCCCTTGACATTCAAGTACAATTGTCTGGAGTTAGACAGAGTAAAATAGTCTGGCATTAGACAAAGTAAAATAGTTAAACAGAGTAAAATAATAAAGTAGGACGCATCATATGGCATTGCATTGAGGTAGAACGATTAATTTGGCACAATAGGTGAAAACTATAATTGATTTGTAAAGTTTAGTATAACCAATTTCTCATATTAATTTTTATATTTGCAATATTTATTAATATTTATATCTATTTTTTCCATTAAAAAATTAAGAGTGATGAACAACATTGTCTGTCATTTACTATTATTTCATCTAGATTCTAGAATTTCTGCAGGAATACCAAAAATCTTTAATATATAAATAATATATAAAAAATAATAAATTATTTTCTTATAGGAAATTCCTATAATAATTTGGGACTAGACTTGAGAATTCTTATAGGAATTCTTCCTATTAAATTCTTATAGGAATTCCTGTAGAAAAAATTCCTATAGGAATTTTTCCTATAGGAAAAATTCCTATAGGAAAAATTCCTATAAGAATTTGGGACAGAATTCCTATAGGAAATTTTCCTATAGGAATTTTTCCTATAGGAATTTTTCCTATAGGAATTCCTATAGGAAAAATTCCTATAGGAATTTTGTCCCAAATTCTTATAGGAATTTTTCCTATAGGAATTCCTATAGGAATTCCTATAGGAATTTTTTCTACAGGAATTCCTATAAGAATTTAATAGGAAGAATTTCTATAAGAATTCTCAAGTCTAGTCCCAAATTATTATAGGAATCTCCTATAAGAAAATAATTTATTCTAATTTCCTATAAGATTTTTGGTATTCCTGCAGAAATTCTAGAATCTAGATGAAATAATAGTAAATGACAGACAATGTTGTTCATCACTCTTAATTTTTTAATGCAAAAAATAGATATAAATATTAATAAATACTCATTAATATTGCAAATATAAAAATTAATATGAGAAATTGGTTATACTAAACATTACAAATCAATTATAGTTTTCACCTATTGTGCCAAATTAATCGTTCTACCTCAATGCAATGCCATATGATGCGTCCTACTTTATTATTTTACTCTGTCTAACTATTTTACTTTGTCTAATGCCAGACTATTTTACTCTGTCTAACTCCAGATAATTGTACTTGAATGTCAAGGGGAAATGCTGGCTCCGAATGGGTTAACTAGCCTATATTCCTATATATGTGTCTAGTTAACCCATTGAATCACATTGCGCCCTGATGCGCCTTACTTTATTATTTTACTATAGTTTACTCTGTCTAACGCCAGACGATTTTACTCGTCAGAGCGCTGGCACTTAATCGGCTAAACCATAGGTAATAACCATAATTGACATTTAAAGTTAAGTTTAAAACTGGCCTCAAAACATAGTCCTCAAATAAGTTCTTGTTCTTGTTTGCTTTTCTGTACTTTGCAACACTTTCCCATGTTGTTTATATTTGTCCTCATATGTTGATGAACCTCTGAGGCCTTACGTCCATACTTTGTTGATAGCTGTAAAAAGACAAATACATTTATTTTATGTCTACCATTCCAATGTGTTTTGTTAACCCATTAAATATGCCCAAATGCACCCAATTTATTATTTTACTCTAAGTGGAGAGTCTAGCACTTTAATAGAATAAACACAGTAAAATAACAAAGTACTAAAAGTAGGGCACATTGCTTCTAAATATGCCACACGGCAGCTTTTGCAGTTAATTATTAACCTTTCAATGACCAACATTCACTTTGATGAGTAAAATCATCTGATAAATATCAAAGTACTGAAAGTGGGGATTGAGTGTTAGGGTGAATTGCATCTAAATGTGCTAACGCCAAATAATGCAAAATAGTCTGGTATTAACAGGGCAAAATATGGAGCTTTGAAATAGAGCACATTAGTGTGAATTTGTGAATTGGGTCTTAATGAGTTTACACAAAACACAGGGAGACAGCAAGGTAACCTATCAAAGTTGTCCACTCTCTTTCAAGTAAAATGATCTGGTGTTAGACAAGGTAAAATAAAAAAAGTACTGAAAGTTGAGCACATTCATCTTAACAAGTTAGCATGAAATGTAAGCTATCAGAGAGTCTGGTTAATTTGAATACCATCACATAGTTATGTTTAACCCCGTGGATATTCGTCCGACACCGGATCTTCTTGCTTCACGGCTATTAATCCGACAACGCTTTAAAAGCTAACACTAAACCACTAAATGCTTGCGTTGTTTCTTAAGAACGAAGCAACAACATATTATTATATACGCTATACGCTTCGACGGTTTCGTACGCGAAAATCATGAAGAAAAAAAAAAGTATAAAAAAAAAATAATAAAATTGTGGCACGAGCAGGAATCGATCCCAGAACTCGGCGCACACAATACAGGTGCCTAAACCACAACACTACAGAGGAATCGCTTGAATTTCAGTTAAATTTACGCAGTTTTATATTTAACGAGTTTAATGATTAAGGAAATGTCGGACGAATATCCACTTCCTATGTTTAATTAATAGAAAAACATTGGATAGTTTTCCTGCGATTACACTAAAGCATGTCTAAAGGCTAACAGATTTTAATACATTGACTGGTGCAAGACCTCTCAAAATGAAAATTGTTTAATTTAAACAAAACATATGAATAAATACTGCTGCTGATTTGAGCAAGTAGTTAAATTTTCTATAGGCATGCATTAAATATGGCTGACAATTTACAATTAATCCGGCATATACAGTTGGAACTTGGGATATACAAATATATTAATAAACATGGATAAGTCTGATTCAAATATAAGACTTTTATAGTAGCATTTGTTGAAGTATAAATGCTATAAATATATTTATATCAGCATTCTAATTCCGTTTATATTGTTGCGGCAAATTCAAATTTTATCGAACCACATGCTCGAATTTCACAAATGAAGATTGGAGGTATTTCCTCTATAATTTGCTTTATTATAAATAAAATATAAACTTATTCTTACCTGAACATTATGCAAACATCCCTGATATATTACTAGTGAAAATCCAGTTGAATCCCATCAAAAATAGTTCTATTTTGCACATAAACCATTGACAAACACTGACTTGAAAAAATATCGGAGGTGTGATGATCTATCCCTTGATGCTTTGCGCGCGTGGCAAGAAAACTAGACACCAGTCTGTCAGTCGCGCACATTGCGGTAATTTTCATTTAATCTTAGAAAATAAATAGTCCCAGTATTAAATTCTCTATTAATAAATGTCTATGAGTAAAATACGATATAGGAATAGTGTAGTTGTATAAGAAATTAAAATTCCTATAAGAATTCTTATAGGATATGATAATGGTAAAAAAATTCCTATAAGAAATAGAAATTCCTGTAGGAAGGAGTTATTTCGTAAATTATATTTATCTGTATAATTTTTTATATAAGTAAAGTTCTTATACCCATGCATGTATCAGGCCATAGTGGTATAGGCTATGATTTTTTCCCACCATTTTCCAATCCTATAAGAATTCCTATAGGAATTTTTATTTCCTATAGGATTTTTTTTCACCATTTTCAAATCCTATAGGAATTTTCATTTCCTATAGGAATTCCTATAGCCATTTTCCAATCCTATAGGAATTCCTATAGGAATATTTTTTCCTATAGGAATTTTTTCACCATTTTCAATTCCTATAGGAATCGTATAGGAATTTTCAATG